TTGTTCCTAAATAGACTTCCATGAGAATACATTCAGATTTAGCATATCTGGCTATGGATTGTGTCTAGTTATTAGTTCTCAGTTGGGCAGGCTTGGAAGTTTTTCTCATTTATTTAGTCTTTAGCATATTAATTTACATGCAAGTCCTGTATTGAGGCCCCTCAAAATCATTTAACACATAGAACAATATAAAATTCGTATAAATTCAATTTCGCAAGAGAAAGTCTTATCGATCGATTGATCGATACCAAGTTTTGGCAATTCGAATATGGAGGAATATTCACGTGAACCCTGCCCCTATCGCATTGTGGATGACTCTGGCGGCGCTTTTGCCATGGGCTCCATTGGCGGTGGCATCTTTCAAGCGCTGAAGGGATTCAGAAATGCTCCGCAGGGCCTAAGCCGTCGCCTGGCGGGCAGCATGATAGCTGTGAAGGCCCGTTCGCCCGTAATAGCCGGCAATTTCGCTGCCTGGGGCGGCATGTTCAGCACCATCGACTGCACCCTGGTCCACTTTAGGAAGAAGGAGGATCCGTGGAACTCCATTATTAGCGGTGCGGCCACTGGTGGCATTCTGGCAGCACGGAACGGTCTGGCCTCCATGGCGGGCAGTGCTATCATTGGCGGCATTCTGCTCTCCCTGATCGAGGGCGTTGGCATACTCCTGACGCGCATCTCGGCCGAACAGTTTCGAAATCCAGCGCCACCCATGGACCCGCAAGAGGCCGGCGTTAACATTCTGGAACCGGATGCATCCAAGGGATTCGGTTTCGGCAGCCGTGCACCGAATGTTAATTCCTAAATGAAAATTTCTTGACAGTTGTAAACCTTGGACCTCCTACATCCCGACAAATGTGTGACCAAGCTATCCCTCAAAATTATTTTTAACTTTTAAACCCATTCGGTTAACGTATAATACACGATGATATCTACATCAGACGAAAATTACATATGCTAGAGACTATGTTTGTTGCAGAGCGTTCATTATAGCTTTAAGGTATTTTATTGTGGACAAATTTAAGAGCAGCTAAATTATCATCCTAGTCTGATTCCCTATTAACTTGAAGGTGAAGAAATACTAATTGAATGTGGTTTTATCTAAAGAAGATTTCAGACGTAAAATTTCAAGTATTTCAAGTATGTTAGAGAGAGAGAGAGAGGTAGAAAAATAGAAAGAGAAAACGAAGGAGAAAGAGAGAGAGAGAACTACTTCTATATCTATGAGACAGAATGTGTATAAGAAAGAATAAGAATTAGTATGGGAAAGAATGAGAATTAGAAGAGAGTTACGTCTACTGCTGAAAATACTTACTAGTGTCTTATATGATCAGCCGAGAGTTGAATATAGTTAATGACTTTCTCTTTATCTATAGGAGATTTCCAATTTAATTTTTGAACCATATCCAGTTTATTCTATGACTCTGAGAAATCGCAAATCAGAAAAGATCTGTAGAGCTCATAGACCAGCTAAAAGTCTCTTTATAAAAAAGATGTATGAATATTCAAAAATCTCAAGAGCAAAAGTAGTTTATCCACATACATACACAAAAAATCAACACAATGTATTTCTGCTGGCATATATAATAGGGCATATTCTTTTCCAATTACCACTCAAATGATTAGATTGACAGCTTCTCAGGGTATCCTGCTAGTATGCAAAGGACCAGTCAACAGGTAGTTAACTGGATGTGTGTGTGTCCGCACACACTTGCCACGCGTCAGGGGCAACAGGCTGTATTTAATATTGGCAAATGTTTACCTGTTGCCGCTGCTGCTGTCGCCGTGTTTACCTGTCGCGCTGGCTGGCAGCGAGTCTGAGGGCATGCGCCTGCGCCGGCGCATAGAGTCAAGTGCCGCTCATTGGCTCGCCATTGGTGGTGGGTGTGGCATTCGCATTTACAACCTGTGCACTCGAAATGACCACAGATGAGCTGACGGATGCAGCGAGAGCGGCTAATTGTGATCACAGCCCGGCGGCTACTGTCCCGGCCACAGCTTCGCCTCGGCTCCGTTGGCAGCTTCAGGTACTGCGTGCGTGGAGAGTCACAGTTTTCCCAGGGGCTGTGCAAAAAACCAATGGCAAGGATTTCCCTCACACATGGACGGCGGTGGGAAAAAGTCGCCTTTGCCCAGCCCAGTTATAAAATCGCTCTTTATGATAATGCTGCTAATATCGAGAGGCAGCGACGTCAGGGAATACCACATGGAAATTTTTTGAATAGCCAGCAGACAGCTTGGTGCCCGGCGACTGTGGGAAGATCCTATAGCACGAACCAACAAGCGAACCAACGGCGCAACATATGCAACTGTGACTCGTGTGTTTTTCTGCTATTATTTCCTTTTATTTTTTTTTTGGCACTTCGTTCCCATTTTCTAGCCAAGCGCCGGTGTTCGCGTAATGTGTGAAATTTGTGTTCCTTGCTGAAATCCCTTGGCCATGGAACACGCCTGGAACCGGCGCTACGGGAAAAGCACAAAGCAAACGAATATGTACCGTTGAAATTCACATTATCATGTGGCACAACAACAGCAATGGTGGCCACAGATCGCACCTTGGTACGTGCTCTGACGGATGCCTCTAGTTGGCCTTTCTGCCACTGCGACGACGAGGCTCTGTTCAAATACGACGTGCCACGTTCTACGTCCTTTGGCCATGTGGCGTCGCGCTTGTTTTCCCAATTATCTGTGAGCATACGTTGGCCAAGAAGGTAGAGGCGCTAGAATTTGTTTAGCGAGGCGCTGCTGGAGTTTACATTTGCTGGAAATTCACATCTCACATCATGCCATGGGAACCAGCCTGAGAAGTCGAAGAGGGTAGAACAACACATATGGGAAACCAAATATACAGTGAGGCTCTTACGGGGTTGTATTAACTAGAAGAAGATCTAGAAATGTAGAGGGATTCTAGAAATTTTCTTATGTACTATGTTGGTAATTGATAAACTTTCAAGTAAAACATTCATGTTAAGAATGATGCAGGACTCAAGTTTAATTTATTTTAAGAAGAATAAAACTCTGCTTCATAAAATTAATAATAATATAAGGCAAAACATAAGAAAATATTTTACTTCATTTAATTATGAATATTAACTTATTTTTTATATATTATGAATTTATATTTTTGATAAATATAATTAATATATTTTTTTTTAATTTATTATTTATTTTATTTTATTTTTTTTAAATTTTATTTAATTAATTTATTTTATTTTATTTATTTTATTTATTTTTTTTAATATTGTATTACCATCGAAAATTCAAGATTTTAAACATTTATTTTCATAATTATGAAAGCAAACCCCTGTGAACCCAAGCCCCTCTTACACCTATGCCAACAGCTTTAGATAAACTGAGATTTCAGAAATATTTTATATTTACACATTCAAGCTATATAAACATGCATTTAACCTCAACTAGAATCCATCAGGAATATATCTAGAAAGTGCTAATAATATGAAGTAAACACTGCAATGCCAGCTCAGCTCTCACACCTATGGCAACGCCTGGCGAGGCAGGGCAGGGCGGAGTAGAGAGGGCATGCAGGACGTCAGAGCAGGCGCAGTGTGCATAAGTACACATGTTGGACATGTGCTAGCCAAGCGACAACACCTCGGAAGATGCTGGAACAGCAACTAGAAATGGGATTGGTAATGGGCTCAGACTGGCAATCGATATTTTTTCTTTTCTGTTTTATTTTATTTTATTTTTTTTTTTTGCATGCTGCGCCCGCATGGCGCTAAATGCAAGCCATTTGGCATGAGACAAAAGGTTTGGGAATTGTTTTTGGTTGTTTATACCGAGAGATTTCGCTGAGAGATTGCCGAGATGTGCATGTGTGTGTGAGTGTGTGTGTTGGCTGTAGATGGGCGAGCCCGCAGCTAGCCTTGGCACATGTCAATGTCAAACATTGAACCGCATTCGAATCGAACGATGCGCATTAAAGGAATTTCGCCGACTTGATGGCACCTTTCGATGTGGCTTGCATTAGAATTGTGTTTGCATTTTGTACGCATTTCGTATGCTCGAGAGTCGGCGCCAAATATCTCATGCATATATGACACACATTTCGTATAGCTCCAGAGTTCTAAGCAGCGAGCCCCAGAGTTCTGAGCTCTGAGCTCTGAGATCTGGGAGATCTGCAAGCGGAATGCATTGATTACGCGTATTCGCGTATTGTGTATTTGGGCATTTAGAATATCTTATGTGTTTAGCGCATAAATTAACCGACTTCGATCCATCGGTCCGGTCAGTGGAAGTTCAAGGTGTCGTAGCCTGATCCAAGCTATTGCGACTACTGTACTACACAATGCCCCAGCAGCACGAGCTGGCCCTGAAATAGCGCTCGGTGCAATGCACCCTGCTTTGGAGCCATGCCTGGACACGGGACACTATACACTGGACAACGGGACACACGGGACAGGGTGGGGGTTATATTCGTATTGCAATAGTTTTGCGGCGCAATGACTTTTTGTGACAAAATACTCGTCCGCATGGCGACTTCTAATTTGCATCCGATCTGAGCTGATCTGATCTGATGTGAGTCGATCGCATCGATAATCGTTTCTCAATTTTCGTCTGCCGCTTCATATGCATGCAATGTGCCATCCGAAAGCTAATTTGCGTATTTTTGGCTGATGAAACCAATGAAGTCATTTGTCTCTCTATCACCCGCTCGCTCTTCATCTGGGTCTTCTCACACGATGATTGAAGTGCGCTTGCTTTGACCTTAGCCCAGTATTACAACCATCATTTGTGGGGCAGTTCCATTGAACTCATCAATATAACATTAATTTTACTCGATGACAAGAAAATGCTAATATCACAACGCAGACTCAGCCTCAGCTTCAGCCTCAGACGCAGACTCAGCCTCAGGTGTGTGCTAAAGCTGCATAACCAAACGGTTTCTTGGAAACTGCGACATTTCCAATGCCAATGATACGGTCTGGGACTTTCCTCGGCAAATGAAAGTGAAGCTCTTTCGCACTGGAATTACCCCAAAAGCAACTAGACTGAGCTGAGGACATATAATTGCATATAGCTGGAGCTAATCTGAAGCTGAACCTTGACATGATAACTTGAAGAACCCAAAGGGTGTCGATATATATGGGGTATGCTGTTTTATTTGAAGATTAAGTTAGACTATAAACATTTATGTTAATAATTCACGGTTTACTTCATGTAAAAGTCGTTTCAATATAAATATATATATAAATAGACTACTAGAAAATAAGCTAAGCTTGTCCTTGCTAGCTCACCTTCATATAATTATTTATATAGAAAAAATAATTCTGGTGGAATTTGATTTGTCAAAGAGCAAAGCTGATAGACAAAACTAAAATAAATGAACATAATATTTATACTACATATATTAGAAATATATTGTTCATAAAATTCCAATGAAAAAGGAGTATAATATATTTAATGATAATTTAAATATATATTAAAATTATATAAAAATGGTATTAGAATGGTATATTCCACTTACAAAGTAAAAACCTTATGAACAAAAATAATTGACCGAAAAAGTGAGATATACAAAAACAACATGAAATCTTTTCATTTCTGATTATAGATGCAACGAAATCAAGTATTCTGTCTGTTAGTTCAAAGTCCGTTTTAGTTTGTTATATAAATAGTACTTGATTAGACTCTAGTAAAAGCAAGCAAAATGCCTTCCCAGAGGTCTTGCCTTATGCATAAAGCTTCAACATTTATTATGTTCTATGAGTCGCACACTCTCTCGACTTGGCAGTTGAAAGACAAAAGTTGAATAAACGATTTCAATCACAAGTTGAAAGTCGCAATTAATCTTGGCAGTTGCACTTTCCTAAAAATATATTTGCAGAAGACAATCCGCTGATGCCTGGCCATTGCTCATCATGCCGCACTTGGTCTCCAGACACAATCTAAAGTCGCGCCATGAACCTGATACTGATGCTGGCTGCCTGCC